GGCCCCGCCCCCTCCCCGGCCCGCGGCTGGGGGGGCACCCCCAGGCCGGGAAGTCCCCCCTGGTCCCCGGCCAGGGCCAGCGGCCGGAATGAGGGGGGGTCAGGGAAGGAGAAACTGTTTCTTTTTCTCCCCTTCCGAACCCCAAAGACTTCCACGTTCCAAACGATTTAATCCTCCGCTTCCCGGGCCCGCCTGCTTGTGTTTTTACCACCCAAACACTCAAATGTTGTTTTTTCCCCTCTACCCTTCATTGTTTCTAATGGCCGAACGAGTGTGGGATGCGCGTGTTTTCCCCTTGGGTTTCACTGCCTTCCAACCTCCCTTCCCCGCGGCCCCTGCCAGATCGATGAGTTCTACGTGGGCCCAGTGCCTCCCAAGCAGGTGACATTTGCCAAGCTGAATGACAACATCCGGGAAAACTTCCTGCGGGACATGTGCAAGAAGTATGGGGAGGTGGAGGAGGTGGAAATTCTGTACAACCCCAAGACCAAGAAGCACCTGGGCATCGCCAAGGTGGTCTTTGCCACTGTCCGGGGGGCCAAGGAGGCCGTCCAGCACTTGCACAGCACTTCTGTCATGGGCAACACCATCCACGTGGAGCTGGACACCAAGGGTGAGTGGAGGCCGCCCTCGGAGGCCTGGGGGGGAGGACGGGCCAGGCCGCCCATCACCGTGCCCCCCTTTCCTCCCAGGGATCCCCTGTGGGTTGGGAGAACCCCTTGCCCTTCCCTGGGATTCCCCCACACTCATCTTATTTAGTCTTTTGCCCCCTCCTGAGGGTAGAGCCACATGGAGCTAAACGTGTTGTCTGTTGCTAGGAGACAGGCTATAATTTACCAAAGGGGCCTGTCCTTGGCCACTGCACCCTTAGGGACCGCCCAGAGGCCCCCCACCGCCCGCACCCCTGTGGGGCCCTGGGCTTTAACAGTCTCCAGTGTTTTGTTTTTGCTTGTTAAGGGAGGAGGCAGAGTTGTGTTTATTTCTTGGGGGCTGGAGGGGGTTGGAGGGAGAACTGCTGAGGCTGTCTTTGAAATAAGAGAAATTCCATGAAGTCCTTGAAGGGTCTGGGTGTGTTTGGGGGGGGGCCATGCCAGCCATTTGCCTGAGCCAATCTGGGCTGGAGGGTGGTTTCATTGATAAGGTTCAGGCCAGCACCGAGGGGGCGGGGCGGGCGCACCGGGTGCTGGAGGGTTGACTCCGCATCTTCCCTCCTCTCTTAAAGAGACCGCGGCACCGCCCCTACTCCTTGTCCTCCCCCTTCCCTGGGAGCCCTGCTGGACAGCCACCCACCCTCTGGGTCTGCCGAGGGCTCCCCCAGTACCTGGCCTGAGGGCTGGCAGGACTCCCTCCGGAGAGGTCCTCCCAAAGTTTGCCTGTGGCCTCCCGGAGCAGCGCCCCCCAGTTTGAAAGAAGTCCCCACTGGGAACCCCGCCCTGCTAGGGTTTAGGAACAACTCCCAGAGTTTGAGGGCGCCTGAGCACACCAGAACCTAGAGAGAGAAAGCTACACTTCTATTTTGTTTTGCTTTTAATAACTAATATGTTTGACCATCTCTCAAGGCTGCTGGGTGCTGTGACAGGCTACTCTGGTTCTGGCTGGCTCTGGGTGATGCCAGTGCTAATCACTGAGCTGGGGCCCAAGCTTAGGGTTTCTGTCCAACCCTCAGCCCCCCCCACCCCTGTCTCCCTGGTTCCTTGGTCTCTGGGGGAGGGAAGCAGGGAGTTTTAAATCCACCTAGCCCTGCTTCACTCTGGTTTTTTCTCCCAAGGCCAAACTCCCCTCCTCTCCCCTCCCCTGCCCACATCTTTAGGAGGAGCAGGTTCTTATCACTATGTCATTTCTGACCAAAAAAAAAGGCCCTTGGGAGACTGCCACCTAAGTTTGTATTCGAGAAAGAGACCAGCTAAGTGTAAAGTTCTGCTCCAGGAATGTGTCTCTTTTGCATATGTGAGCAGCTGCCCAGGCTCTATAAATATCGATAATGTAGGCCCTGAGGTAAAGACCTCCCCCTCCCCTAGGCTCCGAGGGGGCCTGGGCTCGGGTGGTGTGTGGCTCCAGGCAGTCCCCTGGCGGAGTGGGGGCCCTCGTGAGCCCTTAGTGGGCAGAATGCTCTGTGGAACTCATGGTTGTGCGCCACTAGTGTTGTGTGCAAACTGCTGGCCACCTGGGTCAGCGGAGTTAACCCACTGTCACCTCTGGGTTATGGAGTCCCCCATCCTTGTCACCCTGTGTCCTGTGTTCAGTGGGAAGGTGAAAGAATCAGGGAGGGGGTTCTTTTCTGGGGTATGGTGGCCCAGGTGATTGGAAGGGTTTGGGTTTGGGGGAGCCCCAGCACCAGGAAGCCCTTAGTTCTGAATCTCAGCATGAATTTTGCAGCTTCTTTGTGGGGGGGGGGGACTTGGGCCAAAGGTCACACTGCTTCCCCAGGCCTAGGGGTTTGGGGCCCACTGGAGCCCTTGGGGGCTGTCCATGCTGGAACCTACCTCAGCGTGCCCCCCACCCCACCTCTGGTTGTCACAGGTGAAACTCGCATGCGCTTCTATGAACTGCTGGTCACCGGCCGGTACACCCCCCAGACCCTTCCTGTGGGGGAGCTGGATGCCGTCTCTCCAATCGTGAATGAGGCCCTGCAGGTGTGTTCTCGACAGCAGCCCCCCCTTACCTCCCCTGATCAGACCCCCACCCAGGCCCTGCCTTTCCCTTCTCTAGCTCTGGAGATGAAGGCCCGAGGAAGGCGACGAGCCGCTTTCACAGAGCTCTGAACGCCCTGCTTCCCAGGCTGTGCCTCCCTACTCACACCACCCTTCCCCAGCTCTCCTCCATGTGGGCTGGGGCAACCTGGCCATCCACAGCAATGCCAACACATGGCTGTGCCCAGCGTGGTGCCCAGGTCACCCCACCCCCAGAAGGCAGAGTTCAGCCCCCCTTTCAGAGCATGGCAGGCCTTCTCCCAGCCAGCCCTACCCAGGGGAGGCTCGGCCAGCTGCCCCTCTGCTCTGGCTGCGCACTCTCAGAGAGGAGTCTCTCCACCTCTGGTCAAATTCTTCTCTCCCTGCCTCTGGTTAGATTCTTCATTAGGCCTACCTCCCACTGCCTGATTTAGACCCCGAGAGAGGTGTGTGAGGCTAGACAGAGCAGAGCCACTTGCTACTTCCTTCAGCTTGGTTCTTGGTCATCTCTCTGGTCTGGAAGGTGGGAGGCCTAGCGTTGGATGTCCTGCTCCCCTGCCTCCAGGATCAGGGAAAGCCCTCCCGGTTTCCTAAGAAAAATTAAGGCCTTTTTTGGCATCCCACTTCCTTTCCTGGTAGCTCTGAGCTCCCTAGCTGTCGGAGGGAGAAGGGCAAATACCCCATCCCATCGTGTGCACCGGGCCCTGTCCCCAGCCCGGCCATCTCACCTCTCACCTCTCACCTGCCTCTCTCCAGCTGTCAGATGCCCTGAAGCGCCTCAAAGATGGCACCCTGTCTGCGGGCTGCGGCTCGGGCTCGTCCTCGGTCACCCCCAACAGCGGCGGGACGCCCTTCTCGCAGGACACGGCCTACTCCAGCTGCCGGCTGGACACGCCCAACTCGTACGGGCCGGGCACGCCGCTCACGCCGCGCCTGGGCACGCCCTTCTCGCAGGACTCGAGCTACTCCAGCCGCCAGCCCACGCCCTCCTACCTCTTCGGCCCGGACCCCGCGGCCCCCTTCAAGGCCCGGCGCCACGACAGCAAGTTCACGGACGCCTACAACCGCCGCCACGAGCACCACTACGTCCACAACTCCTCGGCCGGGGCCGCGTTCCGGGGCGCGTCGGCCGACCTG